GAGAGACCCTGGGGCATAAGGGTTCCTTTTGACTTGACACTGGGCAGGCTTTGTAATGGACTTTGTTCCCATTGAATCTTCTTTCATAAAGACTCAAAAATAAGACCACTATCGCAAGGCTATCGCATTGCACAACTCCAGGAGGCACCATCTGCTGGAATGCAATACAGTATCCTTTACCTAGTCACAAATGCTACCTTCTCCTGAATTTACTTAAGGTCATACACAGAGCAGACTGGTCACAGCTCTTCTACTCCAAGATATTTCTTCCATATAGCCAGAAGAGTTTCCAGTTTTGAGATGCAGGTAAGTGCTTCCCTGAGAGTTAAGGGGAATCATTTACGACATTGTGGTAATTAGTTTAATCATTCACCTCCCATATGCATCTAAGTGGTTCACTGAGAGAATGAGTATGTTTGAAGGATGTAGGTAAGGAGGAATGCATGATGGAATTTCAGAAACGTTGATTCTGTAGATGAGATGAGCCCTGAGTACGTGCTGCAGTGAGGGGCTTTGGCATCCAAAACATGAAAAGGATCATAGGGTGCCTGGTAGGGGAAACTAAAGAGTATTAGGATGTAGGCGAGGGCAAAATGGGAAGTTGAAAGAGGGTAAAGAGAAAGGGCTGAGAGAAGCAAATGCAACTTGCAAAATTTGGGCTAGAAATGCCTCATCCACTTGCTGTGAGAGGTTGAATGAGCATAAATGATCTCTGAACCCACAAGTACAGCTGTTACAAGTTCTACAGCCACTAGTACAACTGTCATTTCAGTCCATCAAATTTCCTTCCTCCTCTGTCCTCCCTCATTCCTCCTGCACCTCCCTCAGCAGGGGGTTCCTGCTTCCCTCTGTCTGGCACTCAATTCATCCATACAAGATATTTGTGTATTATGCCAAGGAAAGCCTTCTTCCCACATTCTCTTCCTCAGAGAGTCTAGAATACCAACCCCTTACAGCACTGTAAGAAAGGATGGGCTCTCAGCCAATCCCTCAGCCCCGTGAGAAGCTAGCAAGACGATCAGACTCACCCATGCCGAGGATAAATGCCATTTTCTTCATGAAACCCATCATTTCTCTTTTCCTTGAACTTCCTTGGTACTAAATATTTCCTTCATGACACATTTCAGTATCTACCTTACGAGCTCACAATTTTTTGCATACCTTTGCATTACTGAGCCTTTTGCCTGAAATGCCCAACTTGCCCTTGCTTAGCTACAGCATCAGCTGATCCTTTGCAAACTTTCTCTCCACATCCCAGGTCCACCTGAGTTTGATGCTGTTGCTTCTCTCCTCACCCGGGCACAACTCTATTCTCATTTGATTATTGATCACCGTCACCAAACTGTAAGGCACTTGGTAAATAAGAAAAAAAAGTATCTGCCACTTAGGAGAATCTCAATAAAAGTTGAATGGATAATTTATTTTCTGCTGGTAGGAATCTTCAAGGAGAGGTTTTATGGCATTTTCTGTATTGTTCTCGGAGCAATACAGTGCTCTGCAAAATTAGAAACAATCAAATATTTTCAAATATTAAACAATTATGAAATAGTATCAGGGGAATACCATTGTAGAACAAAATACAAGGGAAGCTGAGTAAAGAGAACAAATAGAGTGCAGTGGGATATCAACAAAATGTGAGGGTGGGGTCAGATGGGAAAGGAAGTGATGGCGCTAGAGGAGAGAAAGACTGAGGAAAGAAATAATATTTACACTGTGGTAGTGGGAAAGATCACTCTAATGGAAAGATCTGAAGAAGGAAGATTTTTAAATATTTTCCTGCAGGCTGTCCCCAAAAAAACAGGTGGGGAAGCCATATAAGAGGTTTTTTAAGTAATCCAGCCTTTTGACAGTAACACATCACTGGGCGAATTATGAGTTGATTGTGAAATAAATACAAGAATGCAAATGTTGCTTTGACACTGAAATTTGCGCAGACTCTGAGGAAGCAACGTGTCCTATAAATGGCAGGTGGCAGGGCTATGTAAATATGGTGGCTTCATGCTCTTAGTCAGAAGATAGCAGCTTTAGCCTGAGTGATTTTCCTCACTACTATTACAAACATACCATCTTGAGAGTTTGAATCTAAAGAGTAATATGTAAGATCAAGCCTTGAATGCACTCAAAGGAGAACCCAGATTTTTTCTAGAAAAGACTTATATGTTTAGTTATAGATGCCCCCCAACCCCCACCCAAATCCTTTGGGCATCAATTCATACCAAAGCATTTACATTGTTGCTTATCTGCCTAAAACTACTGAGCTCTGTAACTCTGCAGTCATACTTCTTGAGCTCCCAGTCTTTTAGCACCTCAGTATCAGAAGTGAAAAGGACCTTACAGATCACAGCAATCCTCTTGGCTGCTCCTGCCCTCTCGCTATCAGATTTTTCCATTGACTTGTACAGGATCACGAAGGTGACCATTAGAGACAGTGCCGCCATTAGAAGTCACTGCGGGATCTTTTTGTGCAACCAGTCTAATTACTACGAATCTAAGGCCTCCATTACAATGACAATCCCTAGATTTTCATTCCTTCATTCATCCTTACTTCATTCACTGAAATATACTCTGAAAAAACTCATGCTTTTAGTAGTAGCATCTTCATAAATGTCATAAATTCACTTTGTTGTTTTGAAGTAGTTTCTACTTGGCTAAGAAAAATTAATGTCCTCAACGACAAATGATACACAGAATAAAACCAAAAACTTATTATCCTACACAGGGGAATATGGAGAAATAACTATTTATATCATCTGCATGTGATTGTATTTACTTTTTAAAAAATACATAATACTCTGTATCTTATTCTAGTTAGATATAAAGGTAAGATCCCTTATGTCTACATTAATGGCCAGATTTGATACATTTTAAAATCCTTCTCATCAAACTAGCTGTCATTATATTTCTATGGAATAGTAGGGATAAGACATTTTTCTGTTATTACTTCAAATTTTTATTTCAAATCTTATTGAAAGAGCTCTTTTATTCTCATTAGATAAATTTTTATAATACATCACTCATATAGGAATATAAAAATGAAAACATGAGCAAAATAAATTGGTTAATGAATTACTAAACTTTCCTATAAACAATTTTGTGAGGTATAACTGAAGTAGAATAAAGTGCAAGTATTTAAAGTATACAATTTGATCATTTTTAATATAAGTATATGATTGTTAAACCAATAGCACAATCAAGATAACAAACATATCCATCACCTCCAAAAGTTTCTTTGTATCCAGTATAATCCATTCTTCCCTCCATCCTGTCAGTAGGCAATCGCTGATCAGCTTTCTGTCACTGTATATCAGTCTGCATTTTCTAGAATATTATATGTGAAATCATTAGTACTCAATAAGCATATTTTTTGGGGGTCCTGGCTTTTTTCACTCAGCATAATGAATTCGCAATTCATCCATATGGTTGCATGCATCAAAAGTCCATTCTTTTTTATTGTTGAGCAATACTTCATGGTGTAGATAAACTAGAATTTGTTTATCTTTTCACTGGTTGATGGACATCTGGGTCTTTTTTTGGAATAAAATACATACTCTTCCACTTCTTTCTGCCCAGTGTCCTTGGGAAATTATTAGTCTCTCTGATCTTCATTTTTCTCCTTGATAAAAATATGAGTTTAATGTCTATCTCACAGGAGTGTTTGTAATGATGAAACCACTGAGCGCATTGCCTGGCACATAGTAAATAATCAATATTAACTTTTTTTCTAAGTTATCGTTCAATTGCCTTACTGATGTCAATTCTGAGGTAACACTTTGTCTCCTATTAAAATGCTTTCATTCTTTTCTAATGATTTTAGTGTCCACTTAAATTGAACAGTACCAGATTCCAGCCTCATTGCCTGTCCAACTAAAATAGGGGTACCAAGACAGTTAGCTCCTTAAAATATAATCCTTCTTTTGGATTATATTGACTTCTATAACTGACGAGTGACAATTTTTTCTAATGTACACACGTGTCCAGAGTGGCGATGAAATGTCTATATAGAGGAGACATAGAGACAATAATCAGGGTGGAAGGGGATCTGCTTCTAGAAGCTTAGAAGCTGTGTTTGCATTGCAAATATTCTATTTGAAATGAGATGATATGTTCATTTGAGGAGCTCATGGGGAGGAGAAATTGAAAAGGATTGTGAATTTGGGGAGGCAACTAAAGCCCTCCCAGTCCACCCACCGACGCTGCCACAGTTTAGTTCTCTTCTTTTTCTTTTTCCAAATAATATATTGTTTCCTCACTCATGCTCCTGTAAAACATGCCCACACTGAATATTCCAGCCTAAAATCAGACTCCTTTCATTAAAATAAATATAAATAAGTAAATAAATGGTGTTGATTTTCTCTTTCTTCCTATTTCTCATAAATATTATGTCCAACTAAGCTACTGAATCTAGTTCAGTTGGCAGATAGTGGGGGACAAAGGAATGTTAATTTCTCCTGTGGCTATCGAGAGTGGAGGTGGGGGCTAGAACTGAGCACACTGCTAATAAGGCCAAGCCAACATGTTTGATAGTCTATGGAACTGGCGTGGTTTGCTCTAACACCAATTCTACTCACTTAAATTTGACCTTATTCACATAGGTTTTTGTTTGCTAAAAAAGGGTGCTGGTGGTAGTGTATGGAGGTGGGGTGGGATGGGGTGGGTAACAGATCAGTGACGTTGTGAATGAAAAGAGTGTATACCCCAAAGACGCTTAGTTGACAACATCATTTCTATATAAGGAAGACTGTGTCGTATTGCCATTAGGAGGTCCTTAATGGAATTAGGAACTACACAGTGTGAGTGTGCTGCCTATGAACCTGGAAGTCCTCTGGCACGTACAGATAGAAACAACTACGCAGCAATTACCTCCTTCTTCACTACTCAGAGAGGTGGAGACTCTATTTCATTTTTGTACCTTAGTGATTAACAGAGATGTGCACTCCACCAAGAGTTTTTCATGGAAAAGCATATATTTAGAATAACATAATGCTTTTATATTTTATCAGGATAACACTGTAATATGCAGAAATCTACAAATTGTGATACCTCTATGGAAACACTGAATTCCCCCCGCCAAGGCACCGGAACTGTGCAAATGAGAATAAAAAATGCCAACAGCCACCACGACAGGCTGAGCCAAAGTAAATCCATGATCCTCACCGATGTTGGGAAGGTCACTGAACCCGTAAGTCAAATATCTCAAATACCTCAAGTTCCCTGATATAGAATTGTGTAAAAAAAAAAAAGCAAATTGGCCTTGTTTTATTTGTTTTCCTAAAGTGCATGAGAAAACTGTTTTTGTAATGCATTTTATCTTGCCTACTTATAGTCATAATAATATCCCCAGTTGTGAGAGAAGAGCTGGGATTAATCCAGGGTGATAAAGTGGATTTGGAGCTAGACTGACGAGCACCTTTGACTCATTTTAAGGGCCTCCACTATCATGCTTCAGTGTCATAAAAATAATGAGGTTATGCTAGCATGTGGTGTTTGTACTTCCAAATACAGTACATCACTTTGAAAAGCCAGAGGCTAAAATTAGCTAAGAATGAACTGAGAAAAAAAAATCTTTAAAAAAAACTGTGAAAATCTCTTCCTTAAAATCTTCCAACAATATACGATATTGGAAATTACAATCTGATTTGGAATGAGCTTAAACGATTGAAATGGTGTGGCGATTTAAGGTTTGGAGAGGAAGCCATTTTGTTTCGATAATGTGTCATTAGGAAGATTTGAAACAAAATAGTTAGAGATGAACTCTACTGCCAATTGTGTCCCTGCCCCTGCACGCATCCTGAGCCACTAAACACACTGATTGCGATGAGTCTCCTCTGGTTAATTTTCTTCCATAATGGTGGTAACTTGCAGCTGAGGCCATAGGATGTTACAAAATTATTTATGCAATGTTAGCCACTCTTTTGGACCCTGGATCTATTTTGTTTCTCACAGTGAGAGCAACAGCAAGAAATAGGTTAGCTGGGGACAGGCCGTGAGTCCCAGTCACCCTGCAGAAACATGTGAGCTATTAATTGAGTGTTCTGTTAATATCGTGGGGGCCTATGAAATATTCAGCTCCCTAACTGAGTTATTAAATGAGATCAACTTGCTGAGTAGCATGTTACTGATTATATTTATTCCCTGTTTTTCACTCGAATTTCAAGTGCAAAATTAACGCACAACAATCTCAGAAGCCTGAGAAATATATGATTTTCATCATTCTTTCTTCAGGTATGATAGACAAATGTAGTATGAGGAAGCAGTAATTATATTTTGGGAGTGAGAAATACATCATTAGATAAGGCACCGAGAGATGCATTTTTCTTTATTTACTTTCTCATTTAAAGGTATTGTCTGCTGGGAGGCACAACACTGCCAGCCTGACTTTGCTTTTAAACCAGCTAAAATGCTCCTCAACTATGAACTTGAGACAGTGGTTAGAGTAAATTATTGGAATCTCTATAATGTATTATCAGTAAGAACTGTACCTTTGAAAAAGTTTAAAAGTTAAGTATATTTAATGATGCCTAACATATTTTATTGGCTGTGTTTAACAAAAGGCACTATGCCGCAGTTGTTTTTGACAAGCATGAAAACATCACAGCATGAGACTGCAAAAGGAATTATGGAGAGAAATTACAAGTGATCCATCTCTCAATGAATTATCCACCTCAATAGCCCGCAGAACTCAGCTACCAATTAACACCTACTTTATTACATGTTGGGATGTACTTAATAACTTTCATGTGTTTATGCACTATTACCTTGACTGATGCCTCTTGTACAATTAGGCATAATTGGCATATCAATATGCAAAAGTTAAAAGGATTAACCCTCTTAAAACTAATGAGCATTTCTGTATCCAGCTGCTAAATGAGACAAAATTAGCATTTTTCACTTTTGGGCAGGATTTTATCATGCAGTTTCTCATTGTTGATATTACCTTGTTACATAACTTTAGTTTGGGGGGTTATATGCTGGACTGCTAGAGAAGAAGAGTTTTCCAGAGTTAAATTAGCTATAATTATCCCAGCTTTTGTTTCCGAATTCTTAGCCTGGGCAATATGTATTCCTCGATAAGGAACAAAAATAAAAGTTACTTTTGGTTATGTGTGCTCAGTGCATAATTATATAAAAGGAGTATTTTAGTGAGGATATGTCATTTCACCGAGAAAACTTGGCTCCGAGCTACTGTATTGAAAGCTTGCCATGGCACTAATTTTCTTTCTGTCTCAGTTCTTTTCATCTCTTTTTTCCATGCACAATTTTCTGACTAGATACTGACAGAATGTAAAGTATTTTGGCATATTTATTCAAACAAGCCTGTTAAAGATATCTGCTCGAGCTAAACTAAGAACTTGATTTTTCTGAAGTTGGAGGGTGGGGTGAGGTCAAGGGGGAAGATTTTGAACTTAGAAGAAGTGGGAGGAGGTGAATACTAAAAATGTGTGCACATGTAGCATGGTTTGTTGTAACAGAGACACATACATTTAATCTGTACAGAAAAAACTAAGAGTACTTGGAGACTATATATATATATGTTATGCATCCTATTTAGTATATACGGCATATATATATTATACAAATCTCATGTGGACTGACTGGAGGATATACTAATGCAAGAATCTGATATTACGTTCATAATGATTTAACTTATTACAGAAAATGATAAAAGTTTCTAGGGTGAAATCAATTATATAGTTTTGTCATTAATTCATAAATTCCTCTTTTATTATTTTGTTTAATTTAAAATATGTTTAATATGACTGTGACCTCAGAACACAATATAAAATTCTCCTATAAAATAAGAGCCTATATTCTTGGTATCCTAAATCAAGGAGTATTTTGAAATGCCAATATAAACATTTATTTGACCCTAAGCTATGCAAACATAGGTGAATTTACTTGTTAAATTAAACGTTTTGATTACCTAAGAGCTGCAGGGAAGCATTTCAGTAAAACAGGTATCAATACTCCGTTAGTATTTTATTGGTGGTGTGCATCATTTTCTTTAAACACCAAATAATCATTTTTATGTTGTTAATGAGATCGATGCCTTTTCCAAATTCAGAGTTTGATTTCCCGCTTTGCTACCTGGGAAATGCTGGAGAGGTGGGAAGTTTGGACGTAGGAGGATGTGGTTAGCAAGAAAATTGCTTATCCATGAGAGAGGTCTCAGATTTCCGCCTGGTCGGGAAGAAACAGCTCTTTGGTCTCAGCGATTTGTTGTCTCATCCTGAGCACTGGAGTGAGACCTCTGAAAGGTGGACTGCTTATTTACCCGAATGTGCTAACCGAAGAAGCAGACAGCTTAGTGAGTGTAAATGGGGGCAAGTGAAGTGTGCCTCTGTAAGTGATGAAAAGGCTAATGTGCAATCCAGCAAAGAGCAAAAGCAAAAGGTTTAATGTGGCTTTGATGTGATTTACAAGAGGGACACTCCAGCCTACTAGACAGGTTAGAATAGATATTAATGAAGAGTTTAGCCCAAATCAAGAAAACTGCAGACAGGACTTGAAGGCAAGAGAAGTTTCGGCATTTAATGCTGGTGTCTTAGGCAGCAACATGTATGAATATTCACCATTTCCATCTTGTAAAGCCTGCAGCAGTGCAATGCCTCCTTCATGGCCATCATAGAGAAGGAACTGTCTTATTACTGTTCAGATAAAGACTCAGGTCAAGACATTTCTACACGTTAGCATACCAGACTCCTTTTGCTTCCGTTAGACTGTGCTCGTTCATTTTTCTTTTTAATATATTATAAGGGAAAAGAGGAAACAATTTTCTTTTGTTTCTTACTTCTGTGATTATAGGATACTTGCCAAAGTTGTGGCTAGCCAAAAAGGCAGACATAAAAATTGCTACTAAAAATATAAGCCTTCTGTTTAGCAGAGTTTTTGAGAAATATTATGAGACTATAGGACTTGTCCATGTTTACTTCAAATCAAGCTTATAGTTAGGTTTGAGGCTTTGTTTGTATAAATTGTCCTGAAGTGGATCCTGATATTTAATTAAAATGACACTAAATCACATTGAATTGATAAGACTTGGCATCTCAAACAAAGGTAATTGCCCGTATTGGTTTTGTGCAAAAATAGCGCTGCTTGGAAAATGTGCAGCCAACACAGACTGTCAACTCCATTTATAGATCAATATGTGAAAACCATTGATCAGGCAGGCATGTATAACAGTAACACTTTGCATTTATTTGTTGTTTTTATACCACATTAAGGCTTACAGGATTATAGGCTTCCTAAATATTTTGACTTCTTCATAAATATATGATCTGTTGCATGTTAATTAAATGAGAGTCTGCAGCCATTTCTAAAATTGTTTTTAGTTTGATGATTTCCTTTTATTGCTGTGGATCGTATGATCTGAAAATGGATTAGTTTCCTTCTGCATAAAGATTATTAAAGCTTATTTTAATGTATCCTATTTACTGTAACATGTGACTGCCTTTTTGCTTTGAAAAATATAGATACAGACAATTATTTTCTCTTAGCAAGAGGCTGATCATTTTTTATTAACTGGGCATTTTCAGCGCTCAGGGTAGAATTATTTCCTGATGTATTTTGCACACCCTGTAGATAACGGGTCTTCTTGATTTCTCCTGATAGAATTTGTTTTCTTTCCTTTCTTTTTATCTAGCTGTGTAGTACAGGTATCTGATCAAACATTATGTAGAAAATAAACTGATCATCTCAATTAAATTCTAGGCACAAATATAATTTGAATTCTATTTTTCTGATTCCAGAACAAGCCTTATGAACTGTTCTTATACACAGCATTCTGCAGTTAAATCTTTCTTATCTCATCAATGTAAGGACAGTGTTTTGTTCCTAATCTTTATTGGACTATTGTGGGTGACATTTGTAAGCCATTTTGGTTTACAAGGAAAAGGTGGAGGACAGTGGAGTGAGACTCTTCCATAGATCCAAGCCTCAGATATGACTACGCAATAATGTGTCTTCCACTGCAATTTTCTTTGCCACTGAGAGGTCAATTTTGTTGAGAAATCTTTTTATATCCTCTATATATATTAGGAGTGCTGCTTTCAAGACAATACTTGGCTTTATATACGATATTAAAACAATAGTAAAAGAAACAAGATTGCAGAAATAGCAACAACCAAAAAAATCATGAAATTCAAGGGTTATGTAAGGTAACTAGTCTGCTGTAGAGCAGAC